CCCTCCTGTCCCCATGTCGGGGCCTCTCCTCTTCCCCCTTGCAGCAGCTGAGGGAGCTGAGAAGCAGAGCGGGGCTGGAGAGGGAGCTGAATCCCTGGGCCTCAGGGACGGTCCTTCCCTGTCCCCATTCCTCAGGTGGGAAGACTGAGGCCAGTGAGGAGCCAGAATGCCCCCAAGTAAGTAGAAAGCAGCAGGCTGGAGTTCAGGGCATCAAAGGCTCAGCGCCCGGGGATCACGTACTCCTCTTCGTCAAGTGGGGTCTGGTGCATCGACCGCAGGTTGCAGTAGACAGGCTGGGAGGCATGGTCGGGGCCCTCGTAGTTCATGTAGAAGTCGTCCTCTGATGGGTGAGCCCTGTGGAGACAGAGAGACGAGAGCGGAGGGAGCACTCAGGGGGTAGGCACGAAAGTTCTGGGCGCCTGAGTCCCCTCCTAGTGTTTACATGTGAGGAAACTGAGGCACAGGGCCGTGTTCTCCCAGCCGCCCAACTTCCTCTGAGGAAAGGAGGTGGGGGCCAGGGATTCAGGGAAGATTCCATGGATTTAGCATTTTTGTTTGTTTGTTTTGTTTTTAAGATTTTATTTATTTATTTGAGAGAATGAGAGAGAGAGAGAGAGAGAGCGCACATGAGAGGGGGGAGGGGCAGAGGGAGAAGCAGACTCCCCGCCGAGCAGGGAGCCCGATGCGGGACTCGATCCCGGGACTCCAGGATCATGACCTGAGCCGAAGGCAGTCGCCCAACCAACTGAGCCACCCAGGCGCCCCTGGATTTAGCATTGTAATGCTCCTGTCCAAGGACCTCAAGCCCATGGTCAAATTGTTTTCTTCCTTAAAGTTGAGGTAGTTGCTAATTTTTTACATTAAAGTCTAGACTTTAAATTTTTCTTAAATTTTAAATCTAGACTAATTTTTTTCAGTTTCCTCTTGAAAAATCAGAAACTCTAGTGGCACCAGCCCCATGGACACAAGTGGCTAGAGCCAAACCAGTGCCCTTTCAGCTGGGAAATGTTTTTACTAGATTCTCTGAAGCAACAGACTTTGTGGCCTCAATACAGAAATAAATTTGAGTCTCAGTTTCTGCATCCATAGAATTGGTCTGGGAGGAGATAGCTTCTTAGCGATGTCTAGTTATATATGGTGGGCAAGCCCCGCCCCCCCAAAAAAGAATTCTCCTGCCTCTGGAACATTCTAACCCTACTCTGGTTTGAACAAGTGGTGTCCATCGCTTATTCATGCTTTAGAATGAATCACTCCAAACACATAAATCCTTGTCTAGGGATAGAGAACTGGGAGCCAGACTCTGCTTTCAGACTCACTGTGTGACCTTGGGCAAGTCACTCCCCCGCCTCCCAGAGCCTCCGTTTGTTCAAGTAAAATGTAGGGTGGGAATGACAGATTGCATTCTAAACAAAGTTTTTGGAGGAGACTGATCCTGAGGCTTTGGTGACAGCGAGACAGAGGTGAGCCTCACAGCACACGCTGCCTTAGCAAGTCGAATGCCTACAACTCCCTCCTGCAGGCCACTTCTGCTTTTGAGTCCTATTTGCATCTGCTTTGCATATTCTCTCATTTCTCACCCACAGCTTCCCACCAGCCTCCCCACTTTGTGGATTCCCCTGCCCACACCGATCCATGACCCTGTTCCATTCCTGCTTGGATTCTCCCAGCCACCTCCAGCCTCAGCTCTGATGTCTTGCCTTCTCAAACGGATTCACAGAAGATTCTCCATTCTCTCCCACCTCTAGGACTTTGCCCCTGATGGGGCTGCCCCCCGCAATTCCTTTCATTCCCTCATCCAACCTGGAAAAGTTGAACCCATCCATCTAAGTCCAGCCAAACCTAGAGGTGTCAGGGCTTTGTCGGGGAGAGAAGGACACGGTTTTCTGAACATCTCATGTGTCAAAGGGACATGTGGAAAGGGGAGCTGTCCGCATCTTACAGAGGCTGAAACAGAGACTCAGAGATAGCCCTGGGTCACGCAGGATCTGAGCCAGGCCACCAACTACTTCTGTGAAGCCCCTATTCTGCCTGGAACACTTGCTCCCTCTCCCCCATCCTGGGCCACCAGAAACTCAGTTTGCAGGTCACGAAGGAGGAAACTTGTCTCATATTCAGGAACTCACTTAATTCTTATCCCAACTCTGCGAGGTGGGGGCTGTTATTATCTCCATTTTACAGATGAGAAAATGGAGGCCCTGAGGTAAATCGACTGGCCCAAGATCACACAGCCTACAAGAGGTGGTGCAGGGATTGGAAACCCAGCCATCTGGCTCCAGAGTCTTGCAGGCAGATGTGAATCACTCACCCATGTTCGGCCCACTGGTGCCCCGCAGCTGGCTGGCCCACGAACACATTCTCATAGTCGGGGGTGGAGGGTCTGGGCACGGCAGCTGCTGGGGGCTTAGGGCTGAGGCCCCGGCTACTGTATCTTGGCTGCTTGCCAGAGCCAGACCGATAACCATCCTGAGCAGCCCCTGTTTTGTCCAGGTCCCGGTTACTGACCCTCCGGCGTGCCCGGAGTCTCCAGGCCAGCCCTAGGCCAGCAATGGTGAGCCCCAGGAGCAGGCTTCCACTGGCCACCAGTGCCCCGATGGTCATCAAGGACAGGCCACGGGAGCAGCCAGCCTCCAGGAAGGCGGAGACATTGTGCCAGGCACCGGTAGCTCTGTCTCGGCACTTGAGAGGTGGCTGGCCGGAGCAGTTGTCCTCTCGGACCTGGTGCCAGGATTCCAGGACACAATTGCAGTCAGCCTTCAGGTCAAGTTTACAGCTCACGGCCAACTCCTTGGCCACCTGGGTCAGTGGGTTGTTTGTCACATCTAGGTCCTCCAGCTTTCCCAGGAGTTTAAAGAAGAGAAATGGTAGCTCTCGAAGACTATTTCCAGACAGGTTAAGGTAGAGCAGGTTCCTGGCCTGCAGAGACTGGTTCTGGGGCAGTCTGAGGCCTTGGCCACTGAAATTCAGGCATATGGCTGTGAATTCTGTGTTCCAGTCCACGATCCCGGAGGACACGTTGCAGGAAAAGACTTGGCTGTCTGGATACTGCAGCAGCAGCGGCAACAACAGCATCCACACCAGGGAGCCCCCCATTCAAGCAACCTAGGCAGAGACACCAGAATCTAAGCCCGACTTTAGCCTGTGATCACCTCACCCTCACTGCTTGTGTTGTATTATCATTATCATTATCATTATTATTATATCATCATTATCTCAGAGTGGCCCAGGCCGCTTCTGAAATGGTAAAGCGCAGGCCCTCGCTTGCCGCTCCTCTGGATGGCTCTGGCTTCTGGCCTCAGTCTCCCCCTCTGGGGAATGGGTACGTAAGTAATCCGGGTGCCTGACAGTCCTGGAAGGCGAGGAGAAGACCCGGCCCAGTCAGACCCTCCCCTTCTCCCAGTGGAGCCCCTTCGGGTTAAGTCGCCCAATTCTCCCCAACACCAACCCCACCCCCCCCACCACGAATATTTCAGGCGCTCTCACTGGCCAAGATAGGACCATATGCAAAATAAGCGGTTGCCCCGGAAACGGCCCCCAGGCCCAGCTAATTGTTTCTCGCAGAACTGCGGGGTGCTGAGAGTCTCGGGCTGGGGTTGGATGGGGCTGCTGTAAGGAACCCCTTCCAGTCTGGCTTGAGGCCCCTTCCCGGACCCAAGTTCCAGCGCCTCGGTCCTATCTTTCTGGTCCCACCATCACGCTTTTGCCTCGGCAGGGTGGAAGGTTCTGGTGCGGGAGGGGCTGCGTGGTGGCTCACCTGGACGTGGGGGCCGAAGTGGTCAGCACCCTCCGCGGATCCGCTGTGGTCCGTGGCGCTCCTCAGGATCTGCACCCAGCGACTCAGGGGAAGAGGAACTGGTGTCCGGGTGTAATGCTGAGGGGAAGAAATAAGACACAGAGACCCGCCCCCCTGCAAGGCCTCAGGCCCAGGATTCTCACGGGAGGGGGAGGAGCAACCTGCTTCTCTTTTGCTGGAACCCAGTGACAACATGTCCCCCATTAATACCCTAACCGACCAACTGCTACCTCATCAACTCGCTTCCTGGCGTCAGCTCACTTGATGCCCAACCCATGTGTTCATTTGTTCATTCAACAATCACCCATGCTGAACTTCCAAAAGGCCTCAGTATGGCCAGGTTCTGGTGAAGCACCCAGTCTTCGGAGAGGACAGAGCTGGACACAGACAGACCCAGTCCAGTGGAGTCAGGTCAGGTCACAGAGAGGGACAGAATCCTGGAAGGCTTCCTGGAGGAGGAAGCATTAGAATTGGGGCTTCCACACATGAGTAGGGTTTTGCCAAGGATTCCTAAAGCCTGCCTTTGACTCTCCAACCTGCTGGCCTTCCCCACAGACTCAGAGCTCGTGCTCGGGTACAGCGATGCCTCCATGCTGCAAGGGGCTGTGAGGAGGGTTCCCTGGGGAAGGAGTCGTTGAGTCTGGGGCTTGGAGGATGAGTCACAGTAGCTGGCAGAAACAAATGCGTGGCAGATTCCAGGCAGAAGTCACAATAGGAGCAGATGCCCTGCAGGTTGAGAAAGCATGGCTGGCTTGGACAGTGTGTTTAGGAGTGGAGGGGTTGGAGTGGACAGGCTGAGAGGAGAAACTGGTGGTGTGGGCAGGGGGTGGGCAGTGCTGGCCTCAGACACCAGGATGAGGGGTGGGACATTATTCTCAGGGCCATGGGGAGCCAAGGAAGATGTGTGAGCAGTGGAGGGGTACTGTGTTAAAAGATTCCTCCAGACTGAGCCTGGTGTCTGGAGATGGGGAACCTGGGGAGGAGGGCAGAGTTCCAGAGGAGGAGGGGGGCCTGAGTCAGACCCAAAGGGTAGTAACAAAAGTAGATTAAGAAGGAGATTAAGGGCTAGAGGAGTGTCTCAGCCTCACCGGGGTCCTGGCATCAGGCAGACCAGGTTCCAAATCCATTCCAGACACTGACTCACGGTGCAACCTTAACCACTCTGTGCCTCAGTTTCTACATCTGTAAAATGGGATAAATGCTAAGAGCCTTCTTTTTTTTTTTTAAATGCAACATACAAACTTTATTTAACAAAAGCAACAGGTAAAGTCAAACAGGCACTTATATTAAGAGAAAAACCAACTAGAAGAAATTTTATCTTAAACACCTTACAATAACCTATTTGCAGTTGCATTTACTGAGCTCTGTTGCTGTGAAGAATACAGCTCATGCACAGGTATGGATCAACAATTTGTACATTTTTCAAGTATTCACTGAATACTACCTTATATACACATATACATTAAATTTGAAAAAGATTTAATTGACGATCCCCAGATAGACTTCATTTTTGTTGCTCTTTTGGAAGAGGTCGTCTAAAGAGAAGAATATGTGGTTCTGGCTCATGAATCATGTAATGAACCCAGCCTAGACTCTGTTGGACACCAAGTCTCCTCCACTCCTCTTCAGACATCAGATGGGTTTTCGGGACTTGTTTGGAAAGTTCTCTGGGTAACATGACATGCCGGTACTCGTAGTGCTCGTCGAAGTACTTGTCCGAGTAGTAGATCTGCTTGTGGGCCATCCTGCGGGCGGGCGGGAGCGACGGGGCGCAAAGAGCAGGCGCGGCGGGCCACACGTCCGGGCCTGGCCAGAGCAACGACTCGACCGAGCCTTCTTTTTTTTTAAAGATTTTTATTTATTTGACAGAGAGATAGAGAGCGAGCACAAGTAGGCAGAGCAGCAGGCAGAGGGAGAGGGAGAAGCAGGCTCTCTGCTGAGCACGGAGCTCGATGGGGGACTCGATCCCAGGACCCTGGGAACATGACCTGAGCCCAAGACAGCCGCTTAACAGACTGAGAAACCCAGGCGCCCCTAAGAGCCTTCTCCTTGACTGTGGGAAGCTGAAATTCACTCGCCCATGCTTTCCCCTCTCCTCAAACTCTGCCCCTTTCCATCTAGGAACTCAGAGGAATTGACCAAAGGTTTTGAACTGAGACTTTACAGAAAGTTGCAAGTTGTGGCTTCAACACACCCAAAGGTACTCCCTCCTCACAGAAAAATTGCAAATCACAACTCTGAGGTACCGTGTGTTTTCCTCTATCAGACTGGTAAAACTTCAAAAGTGTGATAATGTCCGGTGCTTGCAGGGCTGTGGGGACACTGTGGCGCTGTCCCAGGGGAAGGCACACTGACACAGGCCACCAGAGTAACAAACACTTGTGCTTGCTGACCCAGCAGCCCACTTTTGGGATGCTCCTGAATAATTCACATTTACAAAATGAGAAGGGCAGCAGGGGCAGGAACTAACTCGTGAGTGGATACACAAAATGCGGTGCATCCATACAGCGCAATATTACTCAGCCATAAAAAGGAACGAAGCCCTCACACACGCTACATCATGGATGAACTTTGAAAACATGATGCTGAGTGAGAGAAGCCAGACACAAAAGACCACATAGCCTGTGATTCCATTGATAGGAAACGTCCAGAACAGGCAAATCCATGGAGACAGAAAGGAGACTGGTGGTTGCCAGGGGCCGAGGGGGAGGGCCTGCTCATGGGCACAGGGTTTCCATTTGGGACAGTGGAAATGTTCTGGAACTAGATGTTGGTGGTGCTTGCAAAACACTAGAAATGTACTAAAAAAAAAACCTGAATTGTTCACTATAAAATGGCTAAAATGGTAAATTTCATGTAAGTGTATTTTGAACCATTTAAAAAAAGAGGGAAGGCAGGAAGATGGCAGAGCTGAGATGCTTCACTGCAATGTTGTTATACGGGGTGGAAAAAAGGAAGCAACCTAAAGGGTTGGTTAGATGAATAGCAGTTCATCCATCCTGGGGGGGGGGCGTGGCTCAGAGTCATAAAAACAAAATGATAGAGGTTTGTGAACCAATAAGGAAAGATTCATTCATCTTTTCCACAAAGCTTTATAAAGCACCTACGATGTGCCAGGCACTGGTCTAGGAGCTGTGCATACAGCCCTGAACAAAACAGACAAAATCCCTGTCCCCATGGGCTTCTTGTAGCAGTTGGAGAGACCGGCGACATGCAGGATCTACCGGGAAAATAGGAGACGGGTGGAAGAAGCAGAGGAAAATAAAATCGAGAAGCAAGCAGGGAAGGTGGCAACTCTTTTTTTTTTTTTTTTAAGATTTTATTTATTTAGGGGCGCCTGGGTGGCTCAGTCCTTAAGCGTCTGCCTTCGGCTTAGGTCGTGATCCCAGGGTCCTGGGATCGAGCCCCACATCGGGCTCCCTGCTCCGCGGGGAAGCCTGCTTCTCCCTCTCCCACTCCCCCTGCTTGTGTTCCCTCTCTCGCTGTGTCTCTCTCTGTCATATAAATAAATAAAATCTTTAAAAAAATTGTTATTTATTTAGGGGCGCCTGGGTAGCTCAGTCGGTTAAACACCTGCCCTCAGCTCAGGTCATGATTCCAGGGTCCTGGGATTGAGCCCCGGTCAATCTGCTTCTTCCTCCCTCTGTGCTCTTCTCTCCGATAAATAAAATCTAAAAAAAAAAAAAA